AAAAAAAAAAAAAAAAAAAAAAGTCATTAACAAAAACAATTAAACCAGTTAATAAATTATGTTCATTTAATTGTTTAGCTAGATTGGAATAGTCTAGTTATACCAATATTCTACACATGTTAGCAACAACTTACTGTCCAAACCAATTTCTCTAATTGCTTGCAAGAATTTGTTGTGAAGTGCATCTGTCCAAACAAGCTTAGTCTTCTTTGGTGGTGTGCTACTCTCTTCTTTTTCAGCCTCCTTATGCTTTCTTGCAGACTTCTTCTTAGATTCCTCCTTATTGCCTTCTTTATTGCCTTTTTCAACGTTGATCGATGATGAAGACTTAACATTTTCATGAGGGCTTTTCAGTAAGCCACTGGAACTTTTACTTGAACTGTTATTTTCTTGAATTTCTTCAATAACAACTGATTTGCCTTTCCCCTTGTTCTTCTTTCCCAAGGCAGCATACTGCCATATATCTCGTAGATCATCTGGTGATATGGGCTTCAGTAAGAAAAATACAGCTCCACGCTCTAGTCCTTCCAACACCATACTATCTCTATCATCGGCTGACATAACTGGCACAACAATACATGACTCTAGTTATAATAAACATTGAGCAAAAGAAAAAAGTTACTATATATGTTAGAATTCTCACACATGGTCAAACTTTTTGATTTGAGTTGGCCAAGGCCTATTTCTTTATATAGTATCAGAGCTAGAACCATCTCAATTTTGGTTTATTCGATCAATATTCGATGTTGATCTCAAATTATATTGTCCATGCTCCACTTGATAGGCCTAGACTTGGGGAAGGGGGGGTTGTCAACTCACAACAGGATAGGTGATTTGGTCTCTTTATATGATCTTTGGCAATTTTCGCATCGCAAACTACCTTTTGGGATCTGGTTAGTTCCAAAGTCCATATCTTAACTATATCTATTTCTTTAGAATATCAGTATAATCTAACTTGTTGAGGCAGAATATCACAAACTTTAGTTGTGAGGTAACAAGCTAGCTTCACTTATTGTGTGCAGTTATTTATAAAATATTTTAAATGACTTGATAGTATATACACGGTCCGCATGGAAGTTAAACAAAATAAAGACGACTGGACATCATAAATATGTATATACATATATAAAGATTTAGAAACTCACAAACAACAGGAATGTCAAATTCTTGGGCAATCACTTGTTGAAGTTCAAAGCCATTCATATCAGGCATGTGGACATCTGAGACAATAACGTCGAAAGAGACGCCGCTGAACCGAAGGATACACAATGCATCTCTTGCGTGCTTCACCGTCACAACTGATCAATTAAACCCACTAATTGATTATGAAGATATTATAAGGTAACTCAAAAGCACTTGGTTCTAGGGTTCGAAACCCCAAATTAAAATCATATGAGAAAAAGAAAGAATAAGATGAAATAAACTATATTTTCACATGTACATGACAGATGCTCAGGTTTAATTAGTACTGCGGTTATCATATGTAGATCATTCTTAAAGATGCGTGTGCTTTGTTTTCATTAATAGTTTGAATCAGCTTCTTGATTGAAATAGCTTGTGAATGCAATTAAATTTTGCTTAACTATAATGGGAAGGATATAATCTAGAATAGTATGATTAGTCAATCTTGTATAAGGCATCACTTGGACTGGCCCGGGACTTATAACCTAGGGTAATTAAACGGAGCTTAACATGGGCCAAGCTAGGGGGAAGGTGATTCCTCAAACCTTTTTCGTCGGAAAATTACATTATATACATTAAGGTCAAAATAATTTATTATGTATATAACATGAATATTGAATTCCGTTTACTTCTTTATATTTGGAATCTTCTTGATGAAAATTCTAGCTTACACTTTCAGTTGTTCGCCCCATACGCCCTAGAAAATATCCATATCCTCTTTGTATTGAAGCTCTGAACTTTCCGTAACATTTCATTTAAAAGAAGTAAATCAAGCATTTGACTTTAGCTTATAAAATATTTGGTGAGTTAGATTATTATAAATTAGTGTTAGATAGTTAAATCAGTTTTTGGATCTGGTATAACTTTTCATATGTTTCCTATAAGATCTTTTATATTTTAATCCAAAAATATGATTTTTTTCATAAAAATATGAAATGTTACGAAAAATATTGGAACTCACAGCACATGCCCTGAGGTGTGCGTCTCACCCGTGATGCATAAAACGTCTTGCCTTGTGCCTTCGCCGGCCTTTTAAAACACTTAATTTTTCAGAACAATCATGACTAGATTACCAAGAGTTCATTTTCATTAATTCTTTTTCAAGAGATCAAGAAACCTTATTTTATGAAGTTTGAAATAAAATTCAATTTAATAGTCCTCCACTTGATATCAGTTTTAACTTGCACAATCTCAGATCAAGAAATGAAAATATAAAAAAAAAAAAGAAAAAAAAGAAAACGAAACACTCACGAAATTACGGAAATGATGAAGAAAACTTAAAAGAAATTTAGCATAGCGACACATGCCTTGAAGTTAATGTTTTAGTTGAATCTGGTACAATTTTTAATATGTTTTCTACTATAACATTTCTTTAATGTTTTAATCCATTCCGAAATGTCTTTCTTTTAATTTGTTTCAAGTAGTTGACTTAAAAAATAGGCATTTTGTAAGATCGGTGACTTACATTATCATGTGTACATATATTGTGCTAATTAGATAGTTAAATCTATGTTTGCACTTTTTTCTTTTGAATCTGGTACAATTTTAATATGTTTTCTATAAGTTTTTCTTTTGTATTTTAATCCATTTTAAGCTATCAATTTATAATAATTATAAATTTATGAGGCTTACGACACATGCCTTGAGGCGTACGTCTCACTCCATGATACGTAAAGCGCCTTGCCTATGCATGCCTCCGCCTTTTAAAACACTTAATTCATCACAACATATCATGACTAAATTTGCAAGTAATCCTTTTCACTAATTCTTTTGTTAGATAAGAAACCCTTATTTTGTGAAGATTGAAAATTAAATTTGATTAAAAGGTCATTTTCTTGATGTCAGTTTTCACTTACAACAATGATCAGATCAAGAAATGGCAACTTAAAAAAAAAAGGACCCTATTTTATGCATACAAGAAAACACTTTTGAAATTAGAAAATGATGAAGAAAACACTCACGACTATACCTTGGTATTTCCACTTCTTGAGTTGAGCAGCTACAATGGAAAGGCAAGTGATATCATCATCCACAACCATAATGCTGTAACTTTTATAAAATTCACTATCCACAATTTCAGAAGATTTGTTTGCTACGACCATTTCATCCCCCATTGTTTCTTCTCGAAAAAAACGACTGTTGTCACAAATTAATAAAAGGAAAATGGTCAACTTGAATGATGGCAATTAATTCCAGGTGTTTTGGATGGTTTTAGTATTTTGTTGAAAGGGAACACAAATTTGTGTTTATTGATAAAGCATATAAAGTACTCTCTAGATTTGCTAATTGAAGTTCTGAACAACTTGGATAAACATTCGAGTCAATTGCTTTCTTTCACGAAAATCCACCTTAGATTTGCTCACCAATTAAAATGACATTTTAAGATTATTTCATAATTCTGTTACTATAGTTTTAGCACAATAGTGCCATCCTTGCACTGATCTGTTTTAGAAACTTATTCATTTTGTTTACGTTTTTATAAGTTTCACCTTTTTTTTTTTACTATAAAAATAATGCTATTCTCATCTGGCTAATAAAATCTCCAACAACATACCATAAATGTATGTACATCCACAATCTATGCTTATGATGACCTCAAACTACGTTTTGATGACATAATTTGACTTATATAGTAAGAAATGTGTTCAATTTATTAGAGTATACTCACATTGTAAATAAAGTCAAAAGAAAATACTATGATGGAAATATAAAGTCAAGTTACGCCTAATTTGCACTTGATGTGTTAGAAGTATATATTCCTGGAGTTAATTTTTCGACTTAATTAGTTCTTAAATTAAACTAGATAGTTATTATTTTATCGTGATATAATAACTAACATGTGATTTAGAAGGAGAAAAAGAAAAAGAAGATTAAATTTAATTTAAGTGGAGGTTAAGATCGCCATTTAGTTTTCGTTGAAGCAATTGGAGCTAATTCATAATTTTCCTACCGATCGACGAGCACTCCACATAATTAGTTCTGATAGAAATATAACAAGTCGAATAGTAGAAGGAGACTTGAACGAAGTCACGAGTGCTTCTGAAAAATTTAGAGGATTACTCGTTAATCTTCTATCTATATAATTCTATCTATATAGAATAGGAGAAGCAAATCCATATTATTATGCCAAGTGTCAAAATAATAATTGAACATGTATTAAATTTTAGGACAAAACTCCAACTAATTTAAAAGTTCAAAAATAATTTAAAATAGAAAATAAGACCAAATTTAAAATTCTAATTCAGTTTAAACCAACATTTGAGTCCCACATTTTTGGGCTATTTTTTTTATTTGTTAAAATAAGTTCAAAGTCCCACGTTTTTTGGCTGTTATTTTTTTATTCGTTAAAATAAGTTCAAAAAATTAAAAACTTCTAATTCAGTTTCATCAATATTGAGTCCCATGTTTATTGGAATATTTTTTTTTTTTAATATTTGTTAAACCTGACAATTTAAAATAGAAAATAAGACCAAATTTAAAATTCTAATTCAGTTTATATCAACAACTGAGTCCCACATTTTTGGGCTACTTTTTTTATTTGTTAAAATAAGTTCAAAGTCCCACGTTTTTTGGCTGTTATTTTTTATTCGTTAAAACAAGTTCAAAAAATTAAAAACTTCTAATTTAGTTTCATCAATATTGAGTCCCACGTTTATTGGAATATTTTTTTTTAATATTTGTTAAACCTAAAAAGTCAAAATAAAAAAACTACTTTGATCCACGTTAGAAACTGACTTCCAATTTTGGAATTTGATTCACAAAGAAACAGGAAGAAATAATTAAAAAAATAAAAACAAAACAAAACCCACGATCATTTTCCAAACGTGGGTATCCTAACCTAACTCCATAATTTTATCCACTATCTCCATAACTACAAATAATATTTTATGCGGCTCCTCCTTTTAATTTCTTTTCCATTCCCTTTTTTCCTGTGCTCAGAATAATGAACTTTGCAAATATAGCTACACATTAGACAAAATTCAAGTAACTCGATGTAATGGAATTTGAAAGTTAGAGTGGTTCAAATGTGAGAAATCCCTGTTGGTTTCAAGCCTGGAATACCATATTTATAGAGTTGATTTTACAGGATGTGAAGGTAACGTATTCATAATTGTTTTTTTTTTATACTTTCCCTTCTCTAATGTTATAGTTCATAAATTTTCGGCAATTTTCAATTCAATAAAACTTTCCGTGTAAAACTACTTGTGTAGTACCCTTAGTTCTCTTTCTGTTTCTAACGTTACTTTCATGATTGTGTATGAATTTTCAGAAATCCTCAAATACATGAAACTATCTACATGAAACGATTATATGGTTATATAGAGTATCCTTATTTCTATTTATGTGGAGTATCTTCTTTGGAGGTAACGTGTTCATAATTGATTTTTTTATACTTCCTCTTCTTTGTTGTTATAGTTCATAAATTTTCAACAATNTATAATTATTTTTTTTATACTGCCTCTTCTTTTCTGTTATAGTTCATAAATTTTCGACAGTTTTTTATTCAATGGAACTTTCCATGTATAACTACTTATGTAGTACCCTTAGTCCTCTTTATGTTTCTAACGTTACTTTCACAATTGTATATGAATTTCTAGAAATCCTCAAATACATGAAACTATCTACTTGAAACGATTATGTGGAATATCCTTATTTCTATTTATGTGGAGTATCTTCATTTGAATTTACTACTTTTATTGTTGAGGTTGATGAACCAACTAATAAAATAATTGCTGAGATGATTCCTGAAATGTTTGTAGGGTGAGTTCCCATATAGGAAGAGATGATAGCAACAAATCTGTCATGCTGGTTAAAAAAATACAACGCGCGAATACGAATACTAAATTTATAATGCTTAAAAGAATTTACTAATGAAGTTTTGGAACAATGCAACAAAATCTTTCAGAGTAATCATTCCCTGATTACGCGTGTATACACTAGGAATTTGATATATATATGAAAGTGAAATTTCGTAAGTTTATTTATTTCTTCTGTTTAAGTTGTTGGTGATACTGTATTGCCAAAACATTAGATATATGTCTTAATTAGGTGAGGCAGTTGGAAAAGTTTTATTCTATAAAATATGTCATTATGTTCGAACAATTCTATCTTATTATCATAACATGTTCACTCTGAAAATTTAACATGTAGGAAATTTTTTACCTTTCATATGATTTGCATTGTGTGTAAGATTTAATACAAAATCGTTGTTGCATGTGCGCACATGCAGGATTTAATCTTACTGGAGTAAGGTCTAAGGTTAGTTCTGGTGGTTCCTTTTCCTTTGTTGTCTTTCCATAATAAGTAGATCTTTCTCTATATAATATGAAGGGTTGTTTCGTAATACAATTCTCTCATGTGAGTGAAGAAAAAAAGTTTGTATGGTTACAGTTTTATTATTTGTTGTGTGCTAAGTCTTCTCATCTCGGGGTAATTATTCTAATCTGTCTCTTTATCTATCATTGTCCCGGAACTATGTAGGTTATTGTATCTATACTTCTTCTATTTTCATACCTGTGTTGATGGTGCTAAGATGATTAAATACAGGATTTGTAGTATGATGTGCTTATTTCTTTCAATTTTCGGCAAACAAATAGGAGGTCATGTGAGTGTTTATGCTAAAAATTGTAAAGTGATGAAGCTGCGAGATTGCGTCTGCAGTCGTTAAAAGTTAACATTAGTTATTCATACTAATAAGGAGGATGAACTTTTTTACATCTTGATTTACTACAATATAGCTGAATTTAGTTATGCTCCTAAAACTACAAGGGACATTAGAAATTTTATTTGATTTTACTGCTATGATAACCTATGACCTTTACGGGACAAATTTCGAGAGACAATGGATAAAGCTATCTTGGATAGCGTCATGGAATTATGCTTAACCTTGATACAACTGAGTTATTGACCTAATGAGAGAAGCAACAGATGAAATTTTGTAGCTTGACTCCTTAGAGCTATAAACAAGATATTAATGAATAGATAGAGACATTTTCTCTAAGGTTTCTGGTCATTAAGTTCATATATTTGATTCTTTCACTGTATGATATGAGCAAGCCTTTTTATCTATCTATTAATTTGACATTAGTCACTTTGCAAAAGTTTTCCTCTCCTGCTAAAGAGGATGAGCTGAAAGTAAATTGTCCAAAATTATTTAGAGAAATAGCTGATATATATCAGGAAGGGTCAGAGAATTTGGCTTTTATGTTTCTATTTCATGCGAATACTGGTGGTATGGTTGTTGTGGGTTCAACCTGTGCTTTAGGTTTGTGCCACTGGCATCTTTCAAAACACTTGTGCTCTTATGACCCATAAAATGGTTATTGGAAATTTAGATTTGTTTTCGTGACGACTTCACTCTCACAAGCTTATATAGTCTATTAGAATTAATTGGTTGACATTCCCAAAATGATAAGTTTCTGATGTCCTGAATCCTTAAAAAAATGCCAATTCTTTATGCATGTCTAATTTTTAAAGCTACGGTTCTGTTAAATTACTTTTTGTTAATATTTTTATCTTCTATTCTTGATATATAAATGGCAGTTTTTATGCGACTTTTCTATTATCAGTATAAGGTGTTTTAAGTTGCATGTTGGATAATTAATCAGAACATTGCAAGGTTAGTTTATTTTTCTGAAGATGTTCAACCAGTTAATAACAAAAACATGTACTTTACTCGTTAATCTATCTATATAGGATAGGAGAAGCAAATCCATATTATTATGTCAAGTGTCAAAACAATAATTGAACATGTATTAAATTTTAGGACAAACCTCCAATTAATTTAGAAGTTCAAAAATAATTTAAAATAAAAAATAAGACCAAATTTAAAATTCTAATTCCGTTTATATGAACATCTAAGTCCCACATTTTTGGGCTATTTTTTTTATTTGTTAAAATAAGTTCAAAGTCCCACGTTTTTTGGCTGTTATTTTTTTATTCGTTAAAACAAGTTCAAAAAATTTAAAACTTCCAATTCAGTTTCATCAATTTTGAGTCCCACGTTTATTGGAATATTTTTTTTAATATTTGTTAAACCTAAAAAGTCAAAATAAAAAAACTACTTTGATCCACGTTAGAAACTGACTTCCAATTTTGGAATTTGATTCACAAA